CAATAAAAGTCCGTACTCTGAAGAAAGTTGAAAAACAATGTGGACGGTAGGTAGCCTTGTTTATTTATTTGCTGCTGAGTTGAGCAAAATTGACAGAAAGAAGAAGAATTATGAAAGAAAAAGGCTTTGAAGACTTGGCTCTTCGACTCAGCCCAGTCATTATGAATTTAAATTTGATCGCTTTTATTGCTTACGACGACTTTCTTTATTCATCGCTCGTCGTATCATTCGGTTTCAAAGTAAATTATCGGCCTCTCTTTATTATTCTTAAAAAGTTAAAAATAATTTTTCTCATTGTTATGGAAGCTTTACGTAGGCCTCTGTTAAAAAATCATTTTACACATTATTAGGTAGAATTTCATTAAAGATCGAAGGCGCGTGTTCAAAAATAAAATTCTTAGTTCTAAGGGGTAAAAGTTTATCAATTTTTACGAGACAAAGAAGCTCAATCACCCAAATGGTAATAATATCGATTGCCCATGGTCGATCGATGATGAGACTGGCGGTCATGGTCACCGTAATCACAATAATCAAGGTTGTGCAACGTTATAGAAATAAATAAGAGGCCTATAATATGAGGAATGAGATGATAGAAGGGAAAACGAAGTATATTTCGTTGTATAATCGTCGAGATATGACGAATTTTGGAAAAAATTATACGCGCTTGCAAAAGGAATGTATCGATCGCTTAATCAACATTTAACGATTTCAGAGGGGGGGGGGGCGGGAATATCTTACAAATTCATATTGTGATGCGATAGATAAAAATACAATCTGACGCGTTTCAAAGTAATTTTCAATTTGTTATTCTTATCTTTTAAGGATATCCCGGGACGTGTATAAAAAGTTAAGGACGAGTCAATGGTCGAACGGTTGAGGAGCATCGACAAACTCTTATGCGTCATTTGAAATGATCTACATTGAATAAGATGCGCGATAGTAGATAAAACGTCGGGAGTTTTAATGCTCTCGCGATTCATCTTTGGACTGCGAGCTTTGACAAAAGATTAACAAAACATTGCGATGTTGAACCGTAAAGTTATAAATAATCACCTACGATTTACTCGCCGTTAATAACGGAGGCTCTAGCGTCGGTCTTGACAACTTATCGATTACATCGAAGTCGGAATATTAATACTGAGATGAGGGCGTAGCCGAGTAACTGGAATAGAATATATTTTTTGAAAATCTAAGAAATATTTGTTATCACGCCTTTGGATTCTAAGCTCTTGTTATTGGTTAAGGTACAAATCGCTTAAAGATCGATCATTGTTGTTGCATTTGCATCACAACTGGCGGGAGAATCATTGCTTTTAAATAGCATCGAATTTTTCACCAAAGACTTTTCCTTAATGCACTTGAGGTGTATAGAATTTCGATAAACGGCCGTATGCCGAACGTCACTCGACGACTCGAAAGGAAAAATAATAAATAATCCGCGAATGATGATAAGAATAAGAAGAAATGACAAAGCGCGCCTCTCGCGTGACCTTGATTGTCGCTCGAGGAGAAAGGACGCGGCTTCTGCGACATCCCCTATCCATTACCTCCTGGCTACTCGGTCGTTTTTTCATCACCTCTGGACGGCAAGCTCCCGAGATAAGGATGACGATTATCCTTACAATCGACGAATGCAACTCGAATTCAAGTTAAAGCATAACTGGAGATTCAAAAGAAACAACAAACAAAAAAAAAAAACAGCTGTTCGACATTGCCGAGCGCGCTTTGACATTCGCTCGTCATTCCCGTTTCCGTTTTGGCATCTGGTGCACGAGGTCGGGAAAGTACCGTGGTGCAAGCGCGCGCGCATTAAGAGGGGACGGGGGTGACGAGCCGTAATTGACCGTCAGCGAATTTGCATGGCGACGGGGCGGGAAACTCGTACGTCTCCTCCTCACTGAGAAATGTCTTTTCGTCTCGGTTAGTCAAGTGCCATCATCATCATCATCATCGTCATCATCGTCATCATCATCATCATCATCATCATTATTATTATTATTATTATTTCGACTCGCTCGGTCGTTTGAGTTTGCACGTTGCAGCCTCTCGAGGCTTTTGAATGTGCGAGTGAGCGTGATATTATAATAAACCACCTGTTTCTATATATACATTTGGAAATGTTCTTCCGATGCTTTTGTGTAGTGTCGCGTGGGCCGATAATGTTACGGTTTTGTAATATATAGAATGTTATGATGAATTTTTGTTTGATGAATCTTCTATCGGGGCTTTTCTTTATTTCTTTTTTTTCTTGTTTTCTTTTTTTTTTTTTTTTTTTTTTTTTTTTTTTTTTTGTTCTTACTCATTCCACGTAAAAGTACTAATTTAAGAAGTGATACTACTCGTAGATAAATTAGTTGCTTATCCGTAGGGTCATTTACGAAATCGTCAGATAGTGCAAACATTATCTGTAAACGAATGATTTTAATTAATGACGCTGTTTTTTTTAATATTCTAATGATTTTGAATTTCATAAGCATCTTAATTTTTGTATGAAACAATC